TAACTGTTGTGTGTTGCGACATCCACCATGTTACCTGGTGTTACCGAGTCGAAACAAAATGTCATTTGGCATGGAATGAAGAATTTTCTGAGCATCATTCTCGATAACAGATATACCATGACGCAAAAGATACTCTAGAAAGGACAACTAAACAATATCATTTATGTTCAATAAGAATTCAGGTATTCATGTTTGAAGGATGACATCCAGGTATATGACTATCCATAAAAATGTATAGTTACTAGCAACCATCATTCCTAACCCTATTATTGCTTAATAGGTCTCACATATTTCCATCCAAAAAAAGCAATGCTTGTTTCGTTTTGATGCTATTTACTTCTTATAATTTCTTGTACTGCAGGTATGTTACCCTTTACAGATTTATACAACTCTTGGTGTATACTATATTTTTTTGCACAGCAAAAAATCATGAGTATCACTGTGAGACAGCCTAAGGCATCTCATATGTCAACCAATTATACAAATAAAAAAGTGAGACTTGATTGATACCTGAAGTTTGCTTCATGAAACGTTATTTTCAACTTCAAAAATGAATGTGCATCCTTTCATGTTCGACCTACAATTTTTCACCTGATTGAACTCACCACCCGTTTAGAATTTTCTAAATTTGGTCCTCGGTACTATTAAAAAAGGTGAAAAGTTGCAGATTGTCATTTCAATCCAAAATAACCTTCTGAAGCTTAAGAAAAAGGTAATCAGAACATAGTCCAGTGAAATGCATTTGTAAAAATAGCTTGGAAGTACTATGACTTGTGACATTTAGTGTTCTTATTCGCATTGTCATACAACGTCTGTTCGTTCAGCTAGCTGATGAATGCTTTTTCCATAGTATAAATTAATTGTAAAATGCTTCACGCATATAAAATTAATGCTTGATACATTTTCTTATTCTGTGAACTGTGCCCAGTCCATGACTATAACTGAAACTAAAAGCCCAAAAACTTTTTAGGTGGCTCATAATAATACTAATGTATACAGGCTAGAAACTGAACCATGTTGAATGCTAAGTCATCAATACGGAATTATGTGTAGGTAAGAACGGAATATCTCGGACTGTTTTCTCCACCAGATCAGATGTCACAAATTTGTTGAGTATGTAAAAAATAGTAGAATGGAGACCCTGAAGTAATTGTTATCAACCATTGTATATATCAGCTGCCCATGAATCATGATTTCCTAATGCATGCTATATATGTGATAGAGACCATTTTTCTGTTGTAATAGAAATTGATGGAAGATCTCGGAAATAGCAATGGACAGATACTATTAGAGATATATTAAGCAATGCACTTGGCACAAATATGGCTTGCAAAATTGCAGAAATAGCACTAACATTTTTGACAGGGTACTATTAGAGATATATTCTATGGGTAAATTTATGTAGTCCAAAAAATTCAGGATAGATACTTCCCTGCTGAATTTTTTTACCTCAAACTTGGCAGCCTGGTTCAGCAAATTTGGCTCGGCAGCCTTGTTTCTCTGTACACATTACATCAAACATGGAAGGATCAAGATTGGAGCTGGGCAGGGGAAATAAAGGGACACCTTGCATTGGGGAACGTTGTACTGGAAGGAGTAATTTTGGATCACCGCCACCTGCTGAAGCTCCTCTGATGTCTCGACCGCCAACCATGCATGCGTGTTGCTCGAGGCAGGGCGCGCTCCAGGCCTGCAGCCGTTCCGCGAGCTGGTGGCTCCGCACGCACCACATAGGAGCCGACACATGCATGACTCCGTCGTTCCTGCCGCCCTTGATGGTGAGAGGCACGAGGTGGCAAGGCATAGGGTGCTGGATCTTCCAGCGGGCGACCAAGCTAGGATCTGGCAACGACGGCTACCGGCGCGACCAATTCGAGGTGAGGAAGGATGGCGGGAGAGCGGGCGATGGCGGAGGGTGTGGATCCAGTTGGGGCGGCTTCGTTCTGCATGCCGGTGACATCCCGATGTCCCTGTGGAAGCAAGGCAGAGAGAGGAGCAGGGAAGGACGGGAAAAAGGACAGGCAGGAGAGGGCGGCTGCTGCTCGCTGGTGAGCTCGCCGGCAGGCGACGGATGCTCCGGCGGTGCACCGGACGCGGAGGAGTCGAGGTGGCGGCAAGGTTCAGTAATTCCTTTTAGCTTTAAACTAATAGAGGGTATATAAATAATAGTAGCATTTAGATTTAAACTAACAGAGGCTATAAACAGAAAACACTTAGCTATAAAAAAATTTGGACTACGGACCTGAATTTGTTCCAAATTTCATTCAAATGAAATTTGAATTATTTGGACTATGGACCTGAATATTTTTGAAGAAATTGGGTGTAGGTACTAAGGTCTTGCTGTGGAAATTTTGGTGAGGTCAGAAGGGTTAGAGAAAATGGAGTTCCTAGACTTTTAGCTTTAGACAAAAAACAAAAGTATTTAGCTACAAATAAAAAACAGTAGCTATGGCATTTAGCTATAAACAAAATACAGAATTGTTTTTCTTTTCAAAAACTTGGTGAAACTAATTGTTGCTATGTAAACAAAAAACAAGATTGTTTTTATATGATATATGTCATTGATGTTCATTTGCATATTCCATTATTGTTGATTATATCTTTTCATTGAAGTGGCCATGTCATATGCAAATTCCTCAATAGTGTTTGCTCATGTTTTATCTTTTCATTGAAGTTGTTCGATTGTGCCCGAGTGGCTTTGTTGTTTCCAGGGAATGAAGCTGAGTGGCCTATGTTTTGACAGAATGTTGATTCATTTCTGTTCCGGCAAATTTCAGGTTCTCGATTTGTCCACTTTTTAGCGAAGGTCGTGCCGAAATTTTCCGTGAATTTTTGCATGACTTGTGCTACAAACTAGGACATACTAGTCGTCAACCCGTGCACCTGCACGGGCTAGTAATAATATCATCATAAACAAACTCCAAATTTTTATCACATGAATGCAATTGAAGAAATTTAAATAATACACTTTGAGCATTGCCATGATATTAACATCCATCTAGTGCTCATAAATTGTGTGCACTTCCTAAATGCTTCTGAATCAAATCAGTATTGGATTTTTTTATTAAATTCGGTATGCTCTCAGCTCAGTTGAGAAGAGTTTGGTTAACACCAAAGTAAAGCAACATATGTTGTGTAGTAGGAAGGAGAAAATATGCTCTTTACTAATTTAGTGTTTTGCATGGCCAGACCACCAAAGGGCAAAGAAACATTTTACAGCGCAAATATACATTTCTTTCTTCATCAAGATTACAACACCAGAAAAGGGGATCATGAGCAATGCATTGGACTTTCTCGTTTATTGAGTAAATATAGGTGCTACTGATTATAAAACAACAAACTGGGAATAAGTGATTATTGATTTCCTTCACAATGCCGTAGCAAGGCCCTCTGCGGCTTGCCTCCATCTCCAGGGTGAGGTCGCCATCTGGCTTAGCTGCTCTGCCGCCTCAACCATGTGAATAGTGATGTTGTTGAGAGCATGCCCCAATTGATTCTGATAACCATCCGAACTCCCCAGCGTTGAGGAAGAGACTACACTGGGCACAAAAGATAGTTGGAGAAATTCGTATTTGAATCAAAAGCCCAGTATAATATACTGATGCATGAAGCATTCACTCATTGTCAGAAATATCAAATGACATATAATCCACACATTGAAGGCCCAAATAGATATGGTTTACAATTGAGCTGCACATTCAAACTATCTTTTATTCTCCACGTACATAGATCAGTAATTTCGAGGCCAAGCACAGTTGAAGAAATGACATCTATCTGCGTACGGATATATGATGTTAATTATATGTTTGCATATAGGAGAACAACTTGCAGAAGTTCTCAAGGTAGCAACACCAGTCTTTTAAAGATTATAACTACATCCAATATCTACTACTTGCATCCTCTATTTATTTGATTAGATTAGATTGATGTTGCTAATTGTTGTACCACAAATCGGTGAGAGACAAAAAATAGTACTTCAATGGAAGATGTATAGACTGAGAACATCTATCGTAACTCATAAGAGATATTACATTGATATTACCTGCAGGCCAATCTAGCACAATGAATTTTCTTGTTTGCACGAATGCAACCTCATAAAGAAAACATTCAGTCAAGAAACATTTCGAGGGTTGCATTAAACTTCAGCCAATCATGTCACATAACTGGAAAAGAGAAAGAAATGTGCATACAGGAACAAATATTACATAAGTAGGTGACGCCAAAACAAGTAGCCACTTCTTTCCATGCTTAGTTGTGTTTTGTAATTAATTACTAAACCAATAGTTCGTTTTTCAGTTTTGAAACATCACACTTTTGTAACTAAAAACTAGTCGATCAATTGAATATTGAGCAATATAAGTAAATGTACGTCTCTTATTGATAGCTTATCACTGCAATTTATCCATATTTTATTTTTCTTTGTAGAGAACAGAGTGGAATAGCAGTAAGTAAAATTACAGTAACTAAACCTTGACTTGCTTCTGTAGCATTTTGATTAAGATCAAAGCAAAACATCGTCGAATGTTTCGTAACAGAAAAAACAAATGTACACATTTTTAACTCAACATGTGCACTTCGTCAATATGTCATGAGTCCTTACGCTTCAGGCACATTAACCCGATGCACTGTGTATGGACATGCACGGCCGAACCCATATGATCTTAGCTCAAATCTAAGAGGAGGTTAATGAGTGATATTTCACCAGTTTATACATTTTCCCAATTTCCTCAACAGCCATGGATGTATTAAGATCATCACAGAATCAACATTCAACTAATGACCAGTATAATACAATGTAGGTTGAATTACTAATGATCAGTATAATACAATGTAGGAAACATGGAATCCTAGCAATAGCTTGATTAGAGCAGTAAACAACATAGATTGACCCCAATAGCTGTGTTAATATGAAAATAAGGAAATTCGGGAGAGTAAAAGCTGGGTAGCAGGACCATCAGGAGTGGCTGCAAGTCACCATGATACCAAGCTCTAGTCTTCAGTCACAAAGCATACAACTCCAGCCAGAGCAGTTTTAGACCGCGCTTCCTATCATTAGCATTATATCTGTAAAAGAAATCTTTCTTAATAATAATTGTACATCAATACCAGATTTACACATTGACTGATAGATTAGAAAACGTAGAGCAGACTCCCTTCTCCAATTCATCTTGGAATTAAGATATTAATACACAAAGATTGTCAATTTTGTAGTACCAATCACATGATACAATCGTACAATTACTGGTCCTTGAAAGCTATAGATAGATGATAATGCATCAAGAGCTCTCAGCATCATTAATCAATGCTCTTTTGTCCATACACTATAGCTAAGATGATTTGCCCTTTCATATCTCTATGTCGCTACATTTTAACTGTTGTGTGTTGCGACATCCACCATGTTAACTGGTGTTATCGAGTCGAAACAAAATGTCATTTGGCATGGAACGAAGAATTTTCTGAGCATCATTCTCGATAACAGATATACCATGACGCAAAAGAGACTCTAGAAAGGACAACTAAACAATATCATTTATGTTCTATAAGAATTCAGGTATTCATGTTTGAAGGATGACATCCAGGTATATGACTATCCATAGAAATGTATAGTTATCAGCAACCATCATTCCTAACCCTATTATTGCTTAATAGATCTCACCTATTTCCATCCAAAAAAAGCAACGATTGTTTCGTTTTGATGCTATTTACTTCTTAGAATTTCTTGTACTGCAGGTATGTTACCCTTTTACAGATTTATACAACTCTTGGTGTATACTGTATTTTTTTGCACAGCAAAAAATCATGAGTATCACTGTGAGACAGCCTAAGGCATCTCATATGTCAACCAATTATACAAATAAAAAAAGTGAGACTTGATTGATACCTCAAGTTTGCTTCATGAAACGTTATTTTCAACTTCAAAAACGAATGTGCATCCTTTCATGTTCGACCTACAATTTTTCACCTGATTGAACTCACCACCCGTTTAGAATTTTCTAAATTTGGTCCTCAATACTATTAAAAAAGGTGAAAAGGTGCAGATTGTCATTTCAATCCAAAATAACCTTCTGAAGCTTAAGAAAAAGGTAATCAGAACATAGTCCAGTGAAATGCATTTGTAAAAATAGCTTGGAAGTACTATGACTTGTGACATTTAGTGTGCTTATTCGCATTGTCATACAACGTCTGTTCGTTCAGCTAGCTGATGAATGCTTTTTCCATAGTATAAATTAATTGTAAAATGCTTCACGCATATAAAATTAATGCTTGATACATTTTCTTATTCTGTGAATTGTGCCCAGTCCATGACTATAACTGACACTAAAAGCCGAAAAACTTTTTAGGTGGCTCATAATAATACTAATGTATACAGGCTAGAAACTGAACCATGTTGAATGCTAAGTCATCAATACGGAATTATGTGTAGGTAAGAACGGAATATCTCGGACTGTTTTCTCTACCAGATCAGATGTCACAAATTTGTTGAGTATGTAAAAAATAGTAGAATGGAGACCCTGAAGTAATTGTTATCAACCATTGTATATATCAGCTGCCCATGAATCATGATTTCCTAGTGCATACTATATATGTGACAGAGACCATTTTTCTGTTGTAATAGAAATTGATGGAAGATCTCAGAAATAGCAATGGACAGATACTATTAGAGATATATTAAGCAATGCACTTGGCACAAATTTGGCTTGCAAAATTGCAGAAATAGCACTAACATTTTCGACAGGGTACTATTAGAGATATATTCTATGGGTAAATTTATGTAGTGCAGAAAATTCAGGATAGATACTTCCCTGTTGAGTTTTTTTTTACCTCAAACTTGGCAGCCTGGTTCAGCAAATTTGGCTCGGCAGCCTTGTTTCTCTGTACACATTACATCAAACATGGAAGGGTCAAGATTGGAGCTGGGCAGGGGGAATAAAGGGACACTTTGCATTCGGGAACGTTGTACTGGAAGGAGTAATTTTGGATCACCGCCACCTGCTGAAGCTCCTCTGATGTCTCGGCCGCCAACCATGCATGCGTTCGCTCGAGGCAGGGCGCGCTCCAGGCCTGCAGCCGTTCCGCGAGCCGGTGGCTCTGCACGCACCACATAGGAGCCGACACATGCATGACTCCGTCGTTCCTGCCACCCTCGACGGTGAGAGGCGCGAGGTGGCAAGGCATAGGGTGCTGGATCTTCCGGTGGGCGACCAAGCTAGGATCTGGCAACGACAGCTACCGGCACGACCAATTCGAGGTGAGGAAGGACGGCGGGAGAGCGGGCGATGGCGGAGGGCGTGGATCCACTTGGGGCGGCTTCGTTCCGCATGCCGGCGACATCCCGATGTCCCTGTGGAGGCAAGGCAGAGAGAGGTGAGAAAGGAGCAGGGAAGGACGGGAAAAAGGCACGGCAGGAGTGGGCGGCTGCTGCCCGCTGGTGAGCTCGCCGGCAGGCGACAGATGCTCCGGTGGCGCACCGGACACGGAGAAGTCGAGGTGGCGGCAAGGTTCGCGAGCTCTGGCGGCGCGGCTGCTCGGGGCTGAAGAAAAGGCGACATGTTTTTTTTTCCTTTTATTTTTATATGGAAGGAGACATAGATGAATAGATAGAGTTTTCTTTTACGCTAATAAATAGAGTTTCTTTGTCGTGAATGAAAGAGATAAAGATTGCTAATCGTGTTTTAGGTGGACTGCTTTGGAGCTCTTTTACGTGAATGAAAGAGATAAAAGATCGCTAATCGTGTTTTAGGCTTTGGAGCCTTTTTTTATCACAACGAAAGCAAAATTTTAGTCGAATCTACACCGTAGTAATCTGGACCCACCAGATTAACGGCTCCTAATTACTGATTAACGTGGTAATTTCTTGGGAGTCTGTAATTAGTATAGGTAGGTACTAGGAAAAGAGCCCGTGCATTGCAACGGGTTAAAAAAAATCCTTACATGTCTCTATATTATCATAAGGCATATCAACAAACATCACTCTAATAATGAATCAGGTTTAATGAAGTGGTGCTGCATCAGATTGATTAAATTTGATTATGCAAGATAATAACTGGTCCAAAAATAATTCATGTCAACATGAGCTAAATTCCAACGTATTTACTTAGCAGTTATCATACCAAAAGTAATGGGGTAAATGGCTTTCGAAAACAAAAGTAATGAGGTAAATGGATGAGTCCTTTACCATAGAAAATTACATGAATCTAATTTTACTAATAATCTTCATGACATGAGTCTTCAGAATTGGATACCGCAATTTCATTTGTTCACACGTGCACAATATTAACACGACTGTATGCTTATTCCAAATGTATTTAACGATGGAACATGCAAGCTATATATTGATTACCTTTAGGTAGTATATGAGCCTTTGTATTCCCCCGACAAAAGTTAAGCTGGAGAGAAAACTCTTATTTCAATTTCGGTGTCATAATATATATAAGAATGTTGTAGCAATAAGATTGATAAAATAACAGCTTCTTGAAGGAAAAAAAAACTGCACACAACAAAAACTATTCTTACTTGGCGAATATATAATGCAATGCGTTATTTTCTAGTAATTCGTAAATTTACCATCAGCTTCAATCTTTTCTTGTTGGATATATTGTTTTCTAGTTTTCTTTTCTTATTTCAATCATGAATATCCAGAGTTTGATCCGCAACATCCGCCCATCTGCTGCTACCGCTGTTGCTTCTGACCCAAACATCCTTCTCCTGCTACCAGTAACACCGGACATGGGGAATTGCTTACCGGGACAGTTGCTTGATCTGAAACTATAACACAAAATTGAGAGTAGCATCTCATGGGGAAAATTGCTCTCCTTTCATGAACCTGTATATAAGCAGATACAAAAACAAAATTGCAAATGGGGTGATAGATCATATTCAGGTACACTTATTTTGCAAGCACGTGGATATGGACCTACTGATATGCAATGGTAGCTGACCAGCTGAAATAAATCACGTGAACCTACTACCAAAGGTAGATTGAAGAGCCATGGCCGGTGAGCCTCCACCCACATCTCATGCCGCTTTGCAATGCTGATAAATGATCAGTTGAACTCATCGCTCTAATATATCCCCCACCCCTGCCTTCCTCTGTCGCTCTACCATGGCCACCTGCAAGGATTCCGCTGACGCTCTCGTGTCCTTCTTCTTAAATCAGATTAGAATGTCTCCTGATTCCGATTGCCTTCCTTATTTCTCTAAGACCTCGTGTCCTTTCCTTGCTATATTAGGATTCTGATTTCTTTCCTTATTTCTTTCTTCTATAACCTCGTTTGCCTCACTTTCCCATTATATTTAGCCTCCCTTTTCTTCCTCATGTTTTTATCACGACTTCAAGATAATTTGCTGATATCCAGAAAACTCAAAGATGTATATAAATTGGGTAGATTAGATGTAACAGAGCGATGTGGGACTATTTAATAAACGTAGCAATCGCTATTTGTACTCTCCAAGGATAGACCCCCATATTGAAACGCTGCCTCGGGGAGCCGGTGTAGAACCGAAAGCAAAGAGGTAATGGCTTCCTAACAAACTGTCACGCCCAATATGCGACCCTATCCAAAATAATTCCTACTCTCCGATATAACTAGACTCCAAAATCAGTTTTCTTCTAGACACAACAACGGCCAAACTACACGATCAAACAAGGGGGCTCCTAAGGTCGGTCGAGGCTCTGATACCAACTTGTCACGCCCAATATGCGACCCTATCCAAAAGGAACTCGAAGGTCCCACCAAGGATAGACCCGCATATTGGAACGCTTTTGCAAGGTGGATATCATTACATCAACATTACATAATAGATGGGGATACATACAAAAGGCATACAATGCCAGACGAATACAACATCATCATACAAGAATAACATCCGACTACGGATGAAACACAAACAGAAACTCAAACGACATCCACCCTGCTAGCCCAAGCTGCCGACCTGGAACCTATCCCCTGATCGAAGAAGCAGAAGAAGAACTCAACGCAAGCAAGCATCGCTCTCGCGTCATGATCATCGCATAACCTATACCTGCAACTGTTGTTGTAGTAAACTGTGAGCCACGAGGACTCAGCAATCCCATTACCATGGGTATCAAGACTAGCAAAGCTTAATGGGAAAGGAAGGGGCAAAGTGGTGAGGTTGCAGCAGCGACTAAGCATGATATGGTGGCTAACATACGCAAATAAGAGCGAGAAGAGAGCAAGCGGAACGGTCGTCAACTAGCAATGATCAAGAGGTGATCCTGAACACCTACTTACGCCAAACATAACCCAAAGACCGTGTTCACTTCCCGGACTCCGCCGAGAAGAGACCATACCGGCTACACACACGGTTGATGCGTTTTAATTCGGATCAGGTGTCAAGTTATCTACAACCGGACATTAACAAATTTCCATCTTCCACATAACCGCGGGCACGACTCTCGAAAGTTTAAACCCTGCAGGGGTGTCCCAACTTAGCCCATGACAAGCTCTCGCGATCAACGAAGGAATAGACCTTCTCCCAGGAAGACCCGATCAGTCTCGGAATCCCGGTTTACAAGACATTTCAACAATGGTAAAAGAAGACCAGCAAAGCCGCCCGATGCGCCGACAATCCCGATAGGAGCTACACATATCTCGTTCTCAGGGCAACATCGGATAAGTCAAGCTACGAGTAAAACCAGACTTCGAGTTTCCCCGAGGTGGCCCCGCAGGCTGCTCAGTTCCGACCAACACTTAGACAAGCACTGGCCCGGGGGGGGCTAAAATAAAGATGACCCTTGGGTTAATTACTCCCAAGGGAAAGGTAGGTGGTGGTGAGGCAAATGGTAAAACCAAGGTTGGACCTTGCTGGACAAGTTTTATTCAAAGCGAACTGTCAGGGGGGTCCCATAAATCACCCGACCGCGTTAGGAACGCAAAATCCGGGAACATAACACCGGTATGACGGAAACTAGGGCGGCAAGAGTGGAACAAAACACCAGGCATAAGGTCGAGCCTTCCACCCTTTACCAAATATATAGATGCATTAATAATATAAGAGATATTGTGATATCCCAACCAAAATCCTGTCCACCATGGAGAAATCTTCAACTTCACCTGCAACTAGCAACGCTATAAGAGGGCTGAGCAAAGCGGTAACATAGCCAAGCAATGGTTTGCTAGGAAGCGTGTCAAAAGTTAGAGGTTCATGGCAATTTGGGAGGCTTGAAAAGCAAATGATAGGTAACGCATCATAGCGATAGAACGAAGCAACTAGCATAGCAATGATAGTAGTGAGATCCAGGGTAGCGATCATCTTGCCTGAAATTCCGCTAGGAAGAAGAACAAGTCCATGAAGAAGACGAACGGGAGTAGTCGAACGAATCCTCACAATCGCAACATTACCGGAAATAAGAAGCAACACCGGAAAGAAACAAACAACATGGTAAATGCACAAGCATAAACATGGCATGATGCACAAACAAGTACGATGCATGTCCGGTTTAATGAGGCATGGCATGGCATGGCAAAGTGCAAAAAACAACACTACAAATTAAGTGGAGCTCAATATGCAACGAGTTGCATATTGACGGAACACCACATTCAAGTATTTAGTTCACTCTCGTTTATGCTACTCATCAATATTAAATATTATTAAACATGGCAAGGGGTGAAGCATAATGAAACTACCTAACTAGCCAAGTTTAAATGAGGCCGGAAGAACAAACAACAATTCCGGAAAATCCTCATATGCAATTGATGAATTTGCTATTGTTCTGCCCTAAAACATATTTCAAAGTTGTTAAGTAGAAAAATAAAGTGGACCATGTTAAACTAGGCATTTTTCCACCCCATTTACATATAAAGTTTATTAAAATTGGAGCTACGGTTATTTAGTTATGAAATAAATCATTTTAACATGGCATTTGAGCAAATTAATGCAAACAGCAATTTTAAATATTTTAACATGGATGAAAGTTGGATATTGTAAAACTAGATAAAATTCTAAACATTTACATATATGACATGATCTATTTGGATGCATGGATATCTAGCAAAACACATGGGAATAAGTGAACTTCATGTTAATAGGCTGACAGCAACATTATGAAGCAACTTTAGAGCAAGATAACAACATGTTCCAGCAGGCTATAATTGCAACCAAGGGCATGAATGGATAGAGCATGACATGTAGATCAAATCATGTTTATAGGACATCTCCAGATTAAGCATAGAATAACTAGTAGAAGCATGTTAACATAGCAACAGAATATAACAGAATCTGCCAGGAAAACAGCAACAACAAGTGCCCTACTTAACAAGCTCGATGCACTCAGCACACAAATCACAAAAATACATGGTTGGCACCCCTGGAAAGATGGCATGGCATAGATCAACATACATGTATACATCAACCTCATACGATGCACACATCAATCATGGCAAAAATGATAAAACAGCAAGTTATAACAGTTTTAGCAGATTAACATCAATATGCACTCTTCCAACAGTATTTCGGGCATCACGATGAGCTCAAATGAAAATGATGCAATGGAATGAAATGAAGTACTCATCGAGATGAACAATTTGAC